ACATAGAACAAGACCGACTCATTACAAGTGAGTACGACCCCAGAAGTTCTAGGTGGGAGACCAGGCGTGACGACAAGAAAATGCACCCAAACACGTTGGCAAGGCCGAGCAAAAAGGGTATTTCTTGATAGTGAAGAAGAGATCGGTGTTCACGGGAGGTGCCTACAAGCTGAGTGATACTCAGGGGAAGATCCTCCCATGGCCATAGAATGTGGTGCACTTAAAGAAGTATTACTCTTAATTTTTATTAGATTGTTTTTACCAATGCAGTTTCTACTCATTTGTTCAGATGATTCATCGAGTTCATGAATAAATTTAAGTTTTTTATAACCCTTTCTAAAGTTTTTTTAATGGACAGAACCCCTAGCAGATGAGCTCGAGCAGGGGCGAAACTATGTGGGGGGTCGGAGAGGCGCCGGCCCCTCAAAAAAAAAAAAGAATTTAAACTAGGGGTGAAACATTTTGCTGGAACTGGAAGATTTTCCTTTGAGCGCGCATGTTGGGCCATCCCCGGTTTCATAAGGTACATACATGGCCGGAGGGGCGCCACCAGTTTTGTCGTGAAAATTTTTTTTAAAGGAAAATTGGGCCCTCCCCGAAACGGGATCCTGGTTTCAGGACAAGGAGAACTATAACAGCAACAGAATTTAATAATTTTTTCATTTTTATTATATTTTGAGTTGGTTAATTAGCCGACTTGCGGTGTACCGACGGGACTAAAAAACCGAGTCGATCATTACCGAAAAATACTTTTATAAAAGTACGGGAAGCAGAGAGTGCGTTGGTGGCATCAATTTATGATTTTGAGGTCCCGACCATTTATTTTGGGTAGCCCGAAGTTGAGAGAAAAATGGCAGTGGCGGTGATTTTATTTTCATTTTTATGTCTAGACTTCAGGTAACCGTCGGCCCTCGTTAGGCGTGCTGAAAATTAGCGGGAGTGCTTTCTTGAAAGCACGAGAACAGTAGAAGCCGTTCGTAAAATTTATTTCACGTTTCGAAGTTTTGAGCATTTATTTTGAGAAGCTCGAAGTCGAGTGCGCATAATAGAAGAATAACAAGCCGTTTTGCGGGGTTCCCTAAGGTTGCGTGTGACCTCGGTTTAACGAGAGTCAAGTTGGAGCGTGTAGACAATTCAAGCACGATTCCATACGGGCAAATTTCACATTTTTCAGAGTTCCGAGCATTTATTATGAGAGTTTGAATTTCTGCGTTAAATAGTATCAAAAGGAGCAAATTTGTCGAGGACGAGTTCGATCGTTCGAGGCTTCGTTTCTCAATTTTTTTCAACTTTTCGTCTATTCGAAAGGAGGTATAATTCTTGATTATTATTATAATTGAGTCCGAGATTTTTATTAGCATAAATTTGAGTATTTTTCGAGTTAAAACAATTCAGTTTAAGTATACCAGTTTAATTCCGGACATAGTTTGATTTTTAGAAAAATCTCTAGAGTATTTCTTTATATCCTGCGAAAATTTTTGAGAGCGTCCACAAAAGCCCTTTGAGCGCCCTTCCGATGCCGGAGTGGGTGTGGTGCGCCGCGGGATGGCCAGAGTGGGAGTGGTGCGCCGCGGCAAATTGGGCCCTCCCCGGGATGACCGGTTGGTTTCGCCACTGAGCTCGAGGTCACATGGTTAAGGGGTAGAACCCCGAGTAGATAAGCTCGGGGGACCAAGGTTAAGTGGAAGAATCGGAGCAGATGAGTTTGGGGGCTTGAGGTTATGGGCCAGATTCCTAAGCAAATGAGCTCAGGGGCCCTGGGTTAAATTTGAAAAACCCCAAGCAAAGTAGCTCGGGTGCCAAACATCTTTACAACGGTATTAGCTCGCAACAAATAGCTCGGGTACCAAAAATGTTTAAAGTGGCGAGAGACCAAGTATATGAGCTTGGTGCAAGGAGAAATAAGAAAAGATCACAACAATAGTAAGCATAAAGAATTCATAAGTTTAGTAAGGCACAAAAAAAGTAAAAAGCAAGGATGACTGAAGATAAAATATCATAATATTCAAAAAGAGAAGAACAATAGGAGAGTAATATTCAAGTACAACTAGGTGCAACAATACGCCCAGTTTGGGCTTGTCTATTACAAAATGCAATGAAATAAAATATTGATGGCCTAAGGAGGGAGTGGATGAGTTCTGCTCTTCGAGGACCTTCTCAGAATCAACAGGGAGGTCAGCTTTCCTCATCACCTTGGCCGAAGCTAGTTCCCACTAGAGGAGCTCGCGGGGCATCTTTAGATTACCTTTCTAGTCGTTAAGGTTGGGTATATACTAGCATAGAGCTGCACCATCCCATTCGCCCGTGACTCCGCCCACGTAGGCCTTAGCCTTATTTTGGTCTGTCTCGATAGTAAAGTATTGTTTGGAAGCAGATAGAACCCAATGTTGGAATTCTACTGAGTGCTTGAAACATTTGAGGAGATCCGACCGGTATTGCTCCATGAAGCTATCATCGAATGAGGAGGACAAGAACAATGTGCGACTTTCCTCACGAGCTCAGGCCTCACGATCGTCCATCATTGTCTTAAGTTGAGCCAATTGTGCCTTCTGGTTGGAGTTTCCTCTCCAAGGCGAGTGAACTCACCTTGCTGATGGTTATTCAGAGCTTGCAGGTTGATGTTGGAGGCTTCGCTGTGCTCGAGGTCCTCTTCAAATTTGGACACCTTGGCGCCCTCGCCTCCATATGCCAAAGACTCATTTAGCATGTGCACTAGCCCAAACACATCTTCACAATAAAGGAACATATACAAGTATTTGAAGATCGAATCCTAAGAATACATGAGGAGATCATTATGAATGAGATATCTTGATTGCATGGTTCAACACATAACCTGCACAGGCTTGGGTGTCACACGATTAACAATATTTCTTGCCATTAAGAAAAACGGACAACATGTATTCTGACTGCATACCGACATCTTTGCAGGTCGCCAAGCATTTGGGCTGGTCGAAGGTTGGGGCAGGGGAAACCTCCTTCTATTTCTTTAGTTTCATCCCCTTCATCTAATGAAGGGACGCTTAGAGTTCCTGGAGGAGGGGAGGCTGAGGCAGCTCGGGGGCTCGAGACTTTTTACCCAGCAGTGGAAAGCTGCAGCACCTGGGTGGTAGCACCCATGGTTACCTTGGGCGTGACTGTTTACTTGTAGGCAGAGGTCGAATAGAAGAGGATGGCATCCATTAGCTCATCAACATAAAACTTTATAAGAGCTAGTAATAAGAAAGTAAAATAAATAGTAACTACCAAGTTTAGTGATGAGTCATGGCTTTAGAGTGACTAGTCCATAGTGAAATCACGATTGCGGGTCATTGGGAGAAGGTCGAATGAAGAAACGTTGGAAGAGAGGTCACAAAGAAAGTTGGCCTTGTGCTGAGCAGAAATATAGTGCTATCCTTTCTAAGGTTTGAACTAGTAACAGTAGAAGAGGTCGGTGTCTAACATTTGCAGCCTACATTAGTTTGGAATGGTAAATCCGACCATGATAAAGATTAAGTGGGAATAAAATGAATGAGAGGGATCCTATAGGGTAGACTCAGTTCTACGAGGTCGTTTTGAAGAGAATATTTAAGGTCGACCTAAATTTGGTATAAAAAGAAGGTGTAGAAGCCTGGTGGAGGCTGGTCTAAAGGTTCACCTACTTTGGGAGCTCGAAGTTCCCAGGATCGAAGAAGTTCACATTCGTGAAAGAGGCGGGTAAGTTGGTTTTCTGTATATGAGGTCAGCGTATTTATCTTGACATGTTTAACAAGGTCACCACTACTTCAACCTTTTTGCCCTTTGACCACAGTAATCTGGTCTTTTCATCTATCGACGAAAAAAATGGCCTTAGTAGGAGCTAATCGACTGGTATAGTTATTTACTATCAAATATAGGTAGGCTATGGAAAGGTTCTTCGATTACTAATCTAACGGTTGAGGTGAGGAGGTCAAAGAGGTGGATTGGCCAAAATTCAAAATCGAGAAAAGGTCAAAAGTGTGGTAGACAGATGAAGGGGAAAACGTTTGACAAAAAATCACTAAAAAATTAAACGAAAAAGAGACATTAAAGAAATAGATTCAGAGGGTAATGAACATACACATGCCAGTGATTGGAGGAATTGGGCAGTTTTTCGTATGCGCTGAAGAAGCAGGGGTTGACAGGTGCGGTCCCACGGACGTGAAGCACACCAAAGCAGGATGAGCCTAGATTGGCCTTAGTGGGGTTCCATATTAAAACCAATTGGTGGTAGGAAGAATATCCCACTAGGCTTATAAGATAGGCCTTGTGGGACAACTCACAAGTGTATTTTCTAACATGCGCCGATAGAAAATGAGAGGTTGCAGCAGTGAGACTTCATTGCTAGAAGAATTACCAAATGTGGAAGGTGGCAAAAGTTAAGAATGAAGGATACATAATCTTTTTTGTAGCAGTTATGGAACACAACCTCTGATGTCATAGTTCGACCATTGATTCATGTGCAACATTAATGGTCCTGATTAGCGAGGAGATACTGATATGATAGGTGCGGAAGGTATGGCCCAGGGTTACCATTGATCTAGTGAAGATCAGTTATCCAAAACTGAAGATGTGTTGGGGAAAGAAACTATACAATATTCTTGCACAAGCTGTAAAAGCTCATTCAAATGGAGCAGGGGGGGATGGGGGGATGGGGGCTCTAGATGATATACCACATGTGATATCTCGGTGAACCGACCTAAGTTGTTAGCTAGGGAGTGGTCGATTCAAGGAAGTTTCAGATAAGTGACAATGTTAGACCATGTTAGGGAGCTCGATGGAGCAACTCATGGTACGAGTCGGCCTAAATGAAGTGTCGAGCTTTTCTTGGAGCTCGAATAGATGAGGGGTCGGTGAGACCTTACGGTCACACAGGCGGAGGTCATAGTTTCCACTTGGTAAGTGCCAACGAATGCTAGGCTGTGAAATCTCTAGGACGACCTAAGGACCTAAGAGTCGTGGCAGAAGGGGGAACATAACCTTGGTAAAGATGGAAAGTATATCTCTCTATGGAGTTTGAGATTTTAGAGAAGTGTCATACTAGAAAACGAGATACAATAAGATTTTTTTTTTTTCAAAGGAAGTTACCAGATTCTATTTGACATAACACATTATCACGCCATACTAAACATCATTCATTGTATTCACGAGCGAAATCTGACTTGAGCATTAGAGATTTTTCGCCGGGACCTGTCCTAGGCGCGTTTTGTAGATTATCAGAATTCGTGACGAGAAGCGTTTAGTGCTGGCAACAGTCTAAATCCATTTTGGAGGCAATTTACGTATCATAAATTTTAAAGAAAACAACATTATTATTTTTGTAAAAGCAGTAATCCAACTTACATATTGTTTTATGCAAAACTCTTATTTTTAAGAGATTTGGATGTGCACATCGTCGACGTTCTTAATAGACCCAACACTGTTGAAACTCCCTGATGGGTTATGATCTCTGTTTTGTTGACTGTTTCTTTAAATACTTAAGTAGTCACGTTGTCACTACAAAAAAGACTCTTACATTCCAACGGAAATATTTCGTTGGAATTCTTTATATTTCCGTTGGAATAGCTATTCCAACGGATATTCCTACGTATAAAAATTCGTGGGAAAACAGCTGTTGGAATAGCTAAAATCCAACAGAAAATCATATGGAAATAAATTCTTACAACTATTCCAACGGAAAAAATCCGTTGGAATTCCTCAACCATCCAACACTTATTCCAACATAAAATTAAGTTTGTTGGAATATTCATTGGAAATTCCAACGGAAATTTTTGCCGTTGGAATTTTTTGTTGGAATTGAAGTGTTTTATTGTAGTGTGTCTTTATGGTGTGTAACTTATAAATATAGGAAAGTTATTGGAGCAAGGTTCTATGACGACCCCTTGTATCCGGGCAGTGTGACATCAGCAAGGGACTTGTATGGGCACGGAATGCACACTGCATCGATTGCGGCGGGTATGCCCGTCAGTGGGGCATCGTACTATGGATTGGCCAAAGGGACTGCAATTGGGGGCTCCCCGAATTCAAGAATTGCAATGTATTGTATGTCTGGAGCTGAATATACTACAATATCTGCATTCCTCAAAGCAATGGACGATGCAATTCATGACGGGGTCGATGTGATATCAATTTCAATGCAATATCCAGAAAATGTTGATTTTCTTGC